ATCATGTATCATTTTTTGATTCGGTCAAATTGAAAAGGAAAAATTCTGAGGAAAACTGTGAGTTGTCAAATTCGAGACAACGAAATAAAAGTATAAGAAAATCAAAGATTCGACTGCTCCAATGAAATTTTATCGGTTTGGCATTCAATTGGAATTTTGCTGTTGTTGAACTCGAAAGCTTAAGACAGCATCATAAACCCCTTGTGTCCGTTGATTGAAGGTAGAAAAAAAGAACCGCAACACTTGGTTCCATAATAAATGAAATGCGCTGCTCTGTAAGTATGGAGTGTGTGTGCGCCACAGATGAATGGGGAATTTACGTCAGTCGGTTATTGTGAGAGATGAGATTGTCTGGCTGGCTGGCTAGCTAGCCGACTGACTCACACAGATGAGTGTACGAATAAAAACATCTTATCAAATGACATAGATTTTATCGTGTATTGAGACGGTACCGCATACACAATTCACTCACAGCCATACGCGTAAGCACACACATACAGTGTATCAATCAAGATCTAAATGCACAGACGCTAATTAATTCAAATTGAGTGAATTTTATCAAAAGCGTCTGCCACAATCTGCTCTATTTCGCAATTTATATGAAGACGCCCATGCATTGGTTTCTCTTACTCTCTCTCTCTCTTTCTCCACCGAACAATGCAATACACATTGAAGAGCAGTAGCCAAGTGGTTTTTGGTGAAGCCAAAGCTAATATTGAAAATCTTGAGAGAGCACGGAGACGGTGTGGATGGGAGACGCATCACATGAATGCTTGTTCATCGAGATGTCATTTGCACAAAATTACTTTGCGGTTAAGCTTTTCGAGATCGATCGCATCGTTTTCATGGAGTTTACTCTTTATCATTCGTTACTTCTCTAAATCGTGAACCATCCAAATTTTAACATAGTTTAAATTGTAACAATTTCACAAATAGACTAATTTTCTGCAAAACTTTGAAGGATAACTGTTGTTTTTTATATCATATTTGAGAAGAACACGAAAAAATCTTCCGATATGAATATATGACTTAATTGTATTTTTTTCAGAAAAGTGGTCTATTTTGAGACTATGTTACAATTAGAACTATGTTACAATTTGGATGGTTTACGATACGTATGATGCGGTTTTAGTGATCTGAGTCAGCAAATTTCATTCAGCTCATCCAACCGACAGTCTCTTGATTGACCGTTTCAAATTTTCACACATTTGCAATAACAGGAGATAGGTAAGTAGGAGAGAGCGACAATGAGTGTGTGTGAATGAAAATCTGTTCTTGATATATTTCATTTACAGTCGAAGACTCTCCAAACTCAACTAATCGTCGGATAAATCAATTAGTTGATTGTAGTAAATGCGAATAGATTGGAATAACATGATTCTAAAGTGAATAGTGCAAGCGTTTCTTCGAAATACATTTTGTGTACGGAATTTTACAAACATGTGTTTTAAGATTGCTGAGCATCTCGGCATTTCGTAAGGCACGGATATATCCGAGCATATCGACGACGCATACTGTATAATACAGTGGCGTGTGTTGCTACGTGCAGCCGCAATGACTCGACCGGAATGTGTATGTTGTTTCTGCGTGCAGCCACATCAACTGAACACACTTCGTTCCAGTCGTTGCGGCTGCACGTAGCAACACACGCCACTGTATTATACAGTATTCGTCGTCGATATGCTCGGATATATCCGTGCCTTACGAAATGCTGAGATGCTCAGCAATCTTGAAACACATGTTTGGAATTTTAGCCAAACGGCGCTCATTTCGAATATACAATGTAGCGCATCTTATGCAAAATTTTCCATAATCAATCAATTAAAAGCTAACACATGAAACATGCATCTGCTTTCATGCTCACTTTGAGCTCAGTGTCCGCGTATTCAGTCCCTCTCTCGACCGCTTCGCCGAAATTCTCAACTCGAAACTTGTGCAAAATGGCAATCCATTTTCAAAGTTATTTATGACCGACGACACGACTATGTGACAAAAGTTTCTGAATGAATAATTAGGTTGAATTCGAATTCTCGTGAAAAAGGATGTGAACAGTGTTCATCAAACATAACCGAAAACTAACAATTCAATTTGCAACGCACATTCTAACCCTTTCCCTCGGTGTTTACCACGCAACATCCACTCTGTTGCGATATCGTCACGAAAAATGATTATAGAGGGACAACTTGAGAAGCCTAAATCAATTAGGACAATAAATAGGCGTAGACTATGATGGGCCGCCGCATCCAATGGCCACAATTTACAAATGCAAATTGAATGGATTAATTTTTCCCTTGATCGATCCTTATGCTAAAGTTTATTTTGTGTCCTTTTATCGATAGATTAAATTAATTTAGTCATTCAGTCGATTCGATTAATACAATAGGGAAAAAAGAGGAGAGGTACATTATGATGTGAGTAAAAAAACTGTAGAGAATGCGATAAAGTAAAATTAAAATTTGTTTATAAAGCACTCAGAAGTTTCCCTCTCGTACGAATGAGAGGGATGGTTCCGAAACCGAATTCAATTTGATGAACACTCTATATCCCGTCAAGAGAGAGAGAGAGAAAGAGAGAGACCGAGATCAAAGACGGCAATCGAAACCAATGAAGCTTCCATGATTTTCATGTTTATGTGTTTTATCGAAAGCCAACGATTTTGAAGGATGTACACGAGCGCGCGTGTGTGTGGGTTGATTAAATGACTAAACCACCCGAGGTCGAATATTCAATTTTAACAAGTTTAGTTGACCGATTTGAGGAGGATAAAAGGGAGAGAGTTATGGAGCGCGTGTATCCGATATGCAACCTGATGCCAGCGCAAACACTTTTCATGTAACAACTCTCTTCAACATTATACACTTTGCTCCGTAGATTATAAACACATACTACGCATCGCAATGTACGCTCAACGTCCAGCAAATAGTTTCCTTTTGTTTATTGACATTTAGCAATGCATGGACGTTGCATGCAATAATAATTTGCCCTTAAGATTTTCTCATGTGAACAATACGTGTGCTGGCTGAATCCTATCGTTGGGCTATCGTTGTACCATAAGTGCTATTTTTGTGTATGTGTGCCCGAACATGTTCTGTTTCTTCTTCCTCTTTTTTTGTGTTCTCTGCTTATTTCACATGTATGTAATCTCAACGGATAGACATATGGCACAAACCATAGTAAAAATAGATCAGATTGAATAGAAAATCCCATGGTAATTTATGCAAGATTGATTTCACAATGCAGCACCACACGTACGCATATCGATTTCAAATGTGTGTACGGCAAATGTGGTTGGTGTATTGCAAACTTCCATCAGCACACGCATTCATTACACATCGTTGCATGTGACTTCCCCATGGCATATATATATATATATATATATATATATATCCATTGAGCATGCAAATCGAATTTTTTCCTCGTACCAACAGAAATACTGTCGCTCTGGTTATAGTTTCGCTTTCAATTAAGAAAACACTTAAAATCAACATTATACAAATGGATTGATGTTGAAAACCGTCATTTATTTATGATAATTGATAACTTTGACTTATTTTTCACTGTGGGAATTTCCATGGTTTGATTTTTATTCAAAGCTTTTTATTTGCTATGCATTCTCATTTAATTGAACATTTATTGCGAAAAAAAAAACTTTATTTGATTTTCGAGAGTGGTTTTTATCAAATGTCAAAGATTTTAAGGGCGAAAGCGGTTGAGGAACAAAGAGAAAAGGGAGAAAAATGGAAAACATATAAAGTAAGAGAGAAAGAGAGAGGGAGAGAGAGAAAGCGTGTGTGTTCTCTTTCTACATTCTGAAAATAAAAGGAAATCAAGAGCGAGAAAGAGAAACAAGTGAAAGACTGAAAGAAAATGGGATAGAGCAAACGAAACGCAAACTATATTTCCATAATAATTGAATTGAAAAACGACAGAACGGGAGTGTAATCTTCTATTCATTTGAAAAGCATATATATATCACTGTTGTATGACGATGATGATGCATGTGGAAAAAAATGTAAAATCCATGTATGTAAACACAGTCAAATGGAATTTCCTCTTGGAAATTTGATAAAAAACATATTTCTGCGTGTTTAACATCATTCATTGCAAAAAAAAACGATGGCGAACAAACGAGGATGTCGACGATGATAGCGACGATGCAAACGACAGCGGGAGTGTAAATGCTTTGTCAGAATCGCATCCAAACATACCGAAATATTTGTGTAGAACAAACAGCAACGAGTCGTGGTAGAGAGGGAGAGAGGGAGAGAGGTAGAAAGACAGATGAAGTACAGGAAAAATCTAGGGGGTAAGAACACAAGCGCTCGAAAGGAACCGTACGAATATTTGTGAATTCGTGTGATTGTGTATACGAGATATTCGCAGCGCAGTGAGTGTACAACAACAATAACAAAGCCACGAACGCATAAATATATGCGAATCTATGTGAATCTCACAACTTGTTCCTAGCCCCTAGGTAAAAATCGATGCATCGACACAAGTGCATTGTCGAGAATTTGTGTTCTTTTCGCTCTTATCATCATCAGTTTTTCGAGCAATGTTTTCGACAAGCTTTTTCATCATTCTCGTCGAAGCAAATACAATATGTATACGTGTCGAAAGAAAGAGCCTGAAGTATGTGTATATATGTTATGACCTCAGAGTAAGTCGTTTCAAATGAAAGATGAGATATACATACACACAGTGCTTGGGGTTTTGTTGCTAAAGCTATTGAAATTTTCCTGATTATGAGATATATGCACTTATGCTTGGAAAACCGAAAATATACACCATCATCAGCAACAACAACAGTAGCAACAGCATATTTTTGTTCTGAATGAAAACAACTACAGCTGCAATAACATCAAAAAATATGGAATAAAAACAATGCTTCAAATACTGCTCTTATTTGAGCTTGGAGTTTCTCTCGTTCATCCATTTTTCAATTGAATGTACACAATTTTAAAGAGAGAGAGAGAGAGATCAATTTGCAATTTTCTTCGTTTTTTTCCTTTTATGCTTTTATTGATATTATAACATTGTTTATATACGTTTATATGCCATAGATCAATAATTTTGTATACATACTGCATCGCAAATATCTCATTTTTAATAAAAAAAACAACAACATAAAATCGAATTTTTCGATCAAAATCACGCAGCACTGAATATGAATACTAAACAGAAAAAAAAATGAACCAAAGATTGAGAATCGGAAATGGTATATTGGTACGCATGTGTTTGTTTGTTCGCTGTTTTTTTTATTCTTCTTCTTCTTCTATTCGCATGGTGTGCCCAAGATCAAATCATTGACTTTGCCCTTCAAAATGCGGTAGTTAAATTCATCCGGATTTAATTTTTTGTACATGAACACGGGCAAACGGTCGGATAAGATCCATAAATTATCATCTCCATCGATTTTCAAATCGTTTGGGAAGACCAACGCAGCGGAATCGGAATCGACAAGACCTTGTGTGTCTGGATTGAATGGTTTGTCTGCTTTCCAGCAACCGACACCGTCTTTATTCACTTGTGTGTAGAACAAAACGTTTGTTTTTTCATGCAATGCTTCCGCTGTTGCTTGTCCATTCGAACCACGGTCACCAACCAATGAGTAGTCATAATAAGCATCTGAACTCGTTGCACGTGTCTCATTTTGTAGCACGAAATTTGGTACAGAGAACTCTTTCGTAGAGGCCAATGCATGGAAGTACACGGTACGAGAGCTGGAAATAAAAGCGAACGATATAAGATTAGACATTTTGAAATGAATATGGGTTGATAATACAGAAAGAGAAGAAGAAGATAATTACCCTTCGCTCGATGGTTTGCCCAAAGCCATGCCAAACACTCCGTCGGTCCATTGGAAATTCACACCTCCAACATTAAAGTCACCGTTCAATGGGTCGAAATGGAAGAAATTGTGCTTAACACGCCACGATTTATTATCTTTAAATGAATAAACGACGACACCATAACCACCCAAATCTGGAACATACGCATATGCATTGCCACATTCATGCTTCGGCACATCGACAATCTGATGGAGAGAGTTTTTTCAAATGAAATCACATCAAATACTTTTCGATATGTTGCTACGGTGTCTGTCTTTCAGTGTGAAAGTGACATTTAATTAGGTGTCATTGGAATCTCTCCAAAACACACATAAACACACACTTACCACATTTGCAAGGAAACTATTATGGCCGAGGTCGCTTGATGTGAATGTGTATCGTCTAATTAGTGTATCAGTGTTTAAGTCGAAAATTACCAATGCGGGTGGTGCAATCTGTTTGGGACTGCCCAAGATATCGGCCAAACCAGTATCCATTACCTAAGGGAATTGAGCTCATCAATAAACAAATTGAACTGTTTCATTGTAATTTTCTTCCGATTTCACATATTATTTTGCGAATTTATCACATTTTATACGTTTAAACATGCCGTAGAGTGGCTATATTACTGCGAATGACAACTAAGAACCAGTTTGCTGTAACTAACCATCAGCTGTCACTGTTTTGGATTTGAAATATTCGCAAAATTCGTAAAATATTTGAAAGATTTTAATGTTGAAATCAAAGCTAATTTCGTGCAATTCATAATTGGATAAATTCCTCTAGTTTCTTACCCACAATCGATCGCATTCATCAACTTGAATACGGAATGTCGATATAATTGACGAATTATCCCGGAGTTGTCCGTCGACGACTTTTGCTTCGGGAGCATCGGCACGGCCACCCAAACGGTCTTGCCCTTGTGATACATCAGCTTCAATGGTGTTTGCTTCCCAGCTTGGATACGGCACCAATACCGGACTTGCCTCTACGCTCGACACTTTGACATAATTCAATGATGATGCAACTCCAGACTTCCATCTAAGCAACGATAAAAGAAGTCAAATACCATTAAAACCATTGCTGCTTCTATCGAAATTCAACTAATTGACATTTTTCTGTTTTTATTCCTCTCGTTTGGTCAATGTGTAACTTTTTTCTCCTTTGAAATTATTTTTCAAGATGTTTGTTCGCTGTCGAAAAAAAATAACAACTAAAAAACATCAATATTGCTTATTTCATTGACAAACTACTTGACTTCAAAGACAAACATCATTGATTGAGCCTCATACACAAACGCAAATGTTCGATTTGCCGCAATCTTGATTGGTAGTAAATTTGGAAGCATAAAAAATGACAACATCAACTAATAATAAGATTTAGTAATCACCGGTTTGGGTAATCCATTGGATTACTAATCCTATCTGCACATAGAAATTGCTCGGTGTTTGCTCATGTACAACTCACATTGCGAAATGTCAATGCTTGATGGTACACACGAAAAAAAGAGTAAATTTATCGGTATGACCAAGTAAAAGTTGACCGTTCAATGTCATCGTGGGAAAAAAATCCAGTTGTTTGCGATTCAAAACCAAATATGTATACATAATAATTAATCGTGAATGATGATGACAAAGAACAACGAAGAAAAGAAGCAAAAAAAAACGTCGAAGAATGAGCGTTTGTTGGCGCACTTTGTGTTGTTGGCACGAAAAGCAAAACCAGTTATTTGATTCAAAACAAAACTCAATTTAAACTTGATTATCATTATGGCTGAATGTGTTTGCGGTAAATCCCGATGCCTTTGTTTTCACCATAAATCTTGCCGCTAATTACAAATTACAATTATTATTGACGAATCAAATCAAATCGAAAAAAATAATAAAACAAAATCTGTCATCGCGCTCTAACTTCAACTTTAGTAATGACGAGAGAAAAAAAACGTCAACTGAAAAAAAAATTCCATTCGAGTTAACTAGGCAATGTTGAGACAAAAGTTCGCGTTGAATAACGTAAAATTACCTGGAAACGACACAAAAATATATTTCTGGACTCGTACAGATTCAAAATGTTGGCAGTTCAAAATTCAGTCGATTTCTAAGAATCAACCGTGAGCCGTATTTTTGGGATGAAATTTTGTGACAACATTAATGTTTTGCTTGTCTTTTATTCGAGCATCAATGTTTTGCCTAACTTTTTGATCGTGTCATTAGCATAAACACGGTGTAATCATACATTTTCATCGTAAATAAACGTACCTTGGAACCGTGATGAATAACCTATCTTTATGCACGTCTAGCCCGAGCAGCAAATTATTCTCGGGTACGTATCGTTTGCCGGTAATAGCTTCTTCTTTGGCTGCGTCTGATGGCCACGCATACGAAACTTCTTTCCATCGGAATTTTTCCTCTAATTTGACAGCCGAACCGATGCTAACGCAAGCAAAAAATAACAACGCGACTTTGAAACACATCATTTTGTTTCGATGTCAGAAACTTATCGGACACAAGAAAAAAAAAATTCGAATTCACAACACACCAAAATATAATCACTTGATTTTAGCTAACGTTTTCTGTTCGGGGTACAATGCGAGCAAAAAAATAAATATCAAACCAACCTCAACGACGGTCAGTCTTTGTGTGATTTAATTTGGTGTGCGGTCGAACAATTTATGGGGATCACAATTTCAAGTTTATATGGTGTACGTATACACGCGCGCACACACACGCTAACGAACCGACAATATTAACAGCCCGGTCTGTTTGTAATGTGTCGCTTTGAATATGTCTGTAGTGGCTATTACGTATTTCACGTGACTTATATCATAGCCATTTGATGCCGATTGCGAGGTGAATCGTTTTGACTAGCAACCGACGTTGTTGTTGTTGTTGCCGTCTTTATTTTGCTTCTCTTCATCGTCGTTTTTTTCTTCTTATTCAACACAAGTATTTACAGAATTGATCGGTGTATTTTACCATACTTAATGGTTCAGAGTAAGATAGAAGTTATCGAATAATCTGTTTTCTTGTGCTTATATTTAAAGTTTTATCTTCAGTCATACACGCACAGCAAAACTTCAAATGAACAACAACAAAAATAACTTGATTCGAAATCAGAAAATACTATTTTGGGAATTCCAAATACGTATCCAAACAAAGTTTTATTAAGACGAAGAAAGAGCATAAAATGAAAGAAAAAAGTCTCGAGGTTTTTGATTTTGTTTTCATTAACATTTTAATGGCACTCTATTTGTTTGTGTATGTTTTGGTGGTGTTGATTCACCTCTTATCGTTTGACATAGCAACAACAAATACGATCAAATGCTCGCTCGATTTTAATTTATTATATCTTCGAAATAGTTTGAACATTTTGTAAAAACCCAACGCAAAAAAAATGACAATCGATAAGTCGAGACAACGATGCTTGGGCGAAAATAGATTTTGTATTGAACGAATTTACTTGGAATTATTCTCAATTGACGATTACAAGCAAAAAATCAGTGAGTTTCCAAAAAATCTCGTTTCAGAATTTTTTCAGGTTAATTGCAAATCGTTGAGACTTTTGTTTTTGTTTTGACCGTCGTCTATCCCATGTCTGATTGCTTTATTAATAAGAACGATGTTGATTGTGCTTTTCAATCATTTCTTTTTCATATAGAAATTATTTGCTCGAAACTGTTTGCGAAAGAGATTTTGTTGGAATAATCCACTTAGACCCACACTATGCAATTCATTTCGAGAAAGAGAGTGGAAAGAAATCACTAGAAAATTGCGTTTGTGCAATCTATCGAGATAATAATAGGTTTTTGTGATAGACGAAATTACATGGAATTGTTTATCACTCAATAAATCCAAATTGCAACTCTTGAAAAAAAGGCCTTCGAAAGAAGTTAAACTCCATGGAGATGGCCAATTAGATGACGCAAAAGCCATTGCTCCATTCTTGTTAATCGTTTACGATTGCAGACAGGAAAAATTGGTGAATTTCCAAACTTGGCGTTACTTTGTATCACTTTTATCAAGTAAATTCGACTCACATGATTGTCTGTTATTTGTGTAAACTTTCGAGTTATTATTAAATACAATGATAGTGATTGTAATGACTGTTAATGGTGCAGCAATAATTATTTGCTAAGATAAGCCCATGGTTCACAGTTCTGTCAGCCCAATTATTGATAACATTTAGTTGTGAAATTGATTTCATGACATCGAATTATGGGCTCAACTATTGAATATGGTTTCAACTCTTATCAATGCTTATGATGATGAAATGTTAAGTCAAACGAAGCACTAATATATTCTTGAAATTATTCAACATAGACATGAGCTGTGAGAGTAAACTGCTGTCAACATTGATCGATGGACATGAAATGAGATTATGAATGTTACAATGCAATCCAATGCAACCCAATTTAATCAATTCAAAAAGCCAAGAAATAGACATTTTTAATTAGTTCAACGAAATTCATTCGAACATTACAATAGTTAAATTTAGCCAATCTAATGCACAAGAATGTCAATCTTATATTTGGTCGAATTGAATTCATTTATTTAGCACATCGTGGGCAATATCAATTCAATGTGGGCAATATCAAAAGAAACTGATTTTTATTGACCAACCTCAACGATTTTCCATTAAACAACTTCAACGATTAGATTTTATTATCATCAATGGAAGTGAAAATTCTATAGAAGACTCGTATAGAGCCTGAGAAAAATAAATAACTTTAATCTTACCGAAGAATGCGTATATCTCCCTCTCCGCCGCCAAGAAGTCAATACTCGCCTATAATGTTTTATAAACACTTGCATCGCGTCTATCAATTATGTCCAGTATTTTAATCGCTTTTATTTCGACTGTTTGTGAGATAGTCACTTGGACTATAAATAAAAGTAGATTGTGATTTATAGAATCTTCTCTCGTTGATGTGTTTTTAATGCCAGAAAGTGAATGCGGTCGAGAGATGCTGAACTTTATGAATTTCGGTTTTTTCTCCACCCAAAACAACTGGTTTCGTTTGACTCAACTGCTGGTAGTATTTTGCTGGTATCTTTTTCAACCGAACCGGTGTATGAATGTGTTGATTTCATATTGGTTTTTCTTCATTCACTCTGTTGCAAAGTCGGAAAAGCCCCAATAAATATTCCAACGAACAATATTATTTCTTAGGATTGGTCGAGTTTTGCAATGATCACGTTTTGCATTTCCATTGCATAAACAAACATCGAAAATATGCTTTTGTGGCTGAATTTTCTTGAATAACTTTTGTTGAGTCGAGTTTTCGTTTATGTTTTTGCCCAACATTCTTGGCTAAATAGAATAATATTTTTACAAATAATAATTGGAATATCTTGATGCTTCCACATTGGGATGAACTAAAAAAGCCAAAATAATACCAAACGATGGCACAAACTGAAAAGGAATTCGGTTGCAAAAAACGTTTACATTTGCTTTCAATTAATTTTCACAAAATTCAAATCAAAGTCCCGCATTTTGGTTTCTCAACCAAATGCTAATTGAATCATTGCTATTTCTTTATAATGGGTGGGCGGGAGAAAAGAAGAAGGAAAAAAAGTTGAATAAATTTTTCATACCAAAACATTTCATTCATTCTCCATTCGACGGAAATTGGTCCATTTTGAAATGATTGTCGAACGATAGAAGCGTAACGCAAAACTTTCAGCATATCAAAATAATTAGAAGTGAATGTGGAATCCAAGTTGGGGATATATATAACACAAATCGAATTGTGTAGGATTCGAATAATTTCCATACGAAATATATCCACATTCATCCCCCCACCTTCATTCTCCCTCTCTCATTTTGCGTCGGCTAAATTAAATATTTCATTTAAAATTTCAATCCACAACGACAACGGACCAAAAGTTTTCCAACTGCCCATCAAATTTGATGGCGGGATATTCGGATATGTTTATAATGAACTTTCGAATAATGAATCGGATCAATTGGATGATAACTTAATAACGAATCCACTCACTCACTCAAATTTGATTTTGCAACGCATTCGAACAAAACAACGTTAGCGTCAACATTGTGACGGCAACAGAACTTGTAAGTAGATTTTATCTCGGGCTAAAAGCTAAATTTGTAAATTTCCCATGCCAAATTTTCCGAGATGAGAAATATATATAATTCACTCACATTTTCGTGTGGCAACGAACGAATGTAAACGATCCATACACGACCAGCGTTAACAAAAATTTTTCATGCAAAATTCTCACAAAATATTCCCTATTAAATGGTTATTATGAAAAGAAATATGCATATCAGTGTTACATAATATGTTTTAAAAGGCACTTACATAGAATACTGACATCGATGGCTGTGCACGTACGCATACTCCATTGCCAGCGCTTTTAACACTGTACCAAGAACATTTCATTCTCTCACACTCACAAACACACTCGTTGTCGTCATCGGCATCGTCCCTTTTCCATTAACATTTTAATGGTCTCTCCGTTGCCCAACAACATGTGAAACATATTAGAACAGATAAAGCATACGACAACAACAAAAAACAGCAGCAGCAGTGGCGGCGGAGGCAACAGCAACAGTGGCATTGGTTACAGTATAGCCACATTATATGAATACACCACATGTCATATAGTCTTTTCACTCCAAAAATGTGTTTGCTTCATTTAATGAAAACTAACTAATAACATTTTGCAAATGTCGAGAAAAAAAATTGTATCCCTTGTTAGTTTGTGAGACTGTTGCCATTCCAACAAGATTATTCCGATGTATGTGTGTGTGTGTGTGTGTGTGTGTATCTTCTTCTCATGCATCATGGACTCTCTGTCTCTTTTCTTATTATTTAGCTACTTGGTTGACAGGAAGCGTAAATGTAATATGTTGAAAAAAGAATAACAAAATGTACAATGTATTGTACATACGTATTTTTGTCGAAATGTTCACAGTGACATTCGCATATGCAAACGAAATGTTTTTCAACTCCATTTTACTCCAATTTGTTGGTGTTGCGTTTATGTTAACATTCTGCATTCAAATGAACAATGAAAACTTAACTAATTTTCTTCATTTTATCCATTGGCAGCTTGGTCTTTTGTACACTTGCTCGCATCACATCGTCTATTTGGAGAACATTATCTCTCCACCGCACTGTCTATCTGCGTGTGCGATGGTTTTCTTTTTGTTTCAATTCGATTTTTGACCCTTGTTCTTTTATATGTGTGTTCGTTTGCTTGCGATTTTGCTGTCGTCACTCATGTGTATGACTTTTGATTTGAAATATTTCGTCGGCCATTTATGACCATCCAGACGTTATGTTATTCACATATTCATTTTTATGCGATACACACTCATTATTTATACTCAAAGTCCATGTCAAAATTTTTTATGTACCATCATTTTCATCAACATAAAATGGCGTTAGTTTTATGTATTTTAAATGAATGTTGTTGCCTCTTTTGTTTAGCTGCCGCCTGGTGCTTCGGCTCTCGGCGAAATCATTTTGATCAATTGACATAAAGGGACTCAGTCAACAACACAGTGTATGTATGTTAGTGAGTCGCGTTCATCGGTTTGGGTGTAAAAAGTTTTCGTATAAATTTGCGCAAAGTTTGTTCGTCATTCGTTCGGAAAGTCATGTAGCCTGATACTTTGTGCGAAAAAGCATAAGCAAACATTCGCGATCGAGA